GTGAGATGGAAAGACAATTTTCTCACTCTGCTCCATAAAGGCAAAATCTCCAAGAAGGAATTCAAGAGGGGCTTGGAGGAGTTAGAGGTTAGAGATAAGCCTTGGCCCATGGGTTAGAGTCCAGGTCATTTCTGGCTCATGGAGTCTGGGGAGGGGGGTCAGACTAAGAGGAGGGAATCTTACTTCTTCCTGATTCTCTCTGGGAGAAGCTGGAGGTGGGTGGGGAGCAGTGTTCCCTCTAAGCTGAGTTAGTGTGAGCCAGCTCACAGTCTTTAGCCTCCGGCTCACACATTTTTGTCTTAGCTCAGGAAGGAGGGCTCCAGAGCCGACTAATTCATGCAGTAGCCAAATCGCTCCCTCACAACTTTAATGCCAGTAGCTCACAAAGTAGAATTTTTGCTCACAGGACTCCACAGCTTAGAGGGAGCATTGGTGGGGAGTACAACCAGGATTCGGGAATTCGTATCCCACAATGTTTACCATCAACTCCACGGATATGAGACAATTTCCACAGTACTGGATGTTGTTCTTGAGGTTCTCATCCCTAAGAAATTACTGAGTTATTGAAGTGGGGGGCAGAACCTTTTACTTTCAACCCAAACAAATCCAACTGCCGGAACACTTCGGGCTTCAAAGAGATGAGACACCCAAAAGTTCTCAGCGGGTTAGACTGGGGAAGGATTAGGGTTCAGAAACGCCTCTCTAGAACTGCCTGTCAAATAAAAATGTTTTGTAAATTAAGGATGCCGGCTGGTCACACTAGGTTTATGCTGTAGATAGCAGTTATCCTCAACTTGCCTACTTCTTCACAAGAATGGGGAAACGAAATGTTCGTGCCAGTGTCATAGATGTCAGAAACAGACTGGCAGCTAAACTGATGTAGTCAGTGTACATTAAAGGTAACCACTAAAAACGGCCCTTCTTTGTGAAACTACTTTTTGGTCCTTTCTGAACCTCCAGCACAATTTCATCAGAATCAACTATAGGAAAGTTTTACACTTGTCTGGATTCTCTGAGGAGCATGAAAGTCAGGTCTGTGCCCCAGGTTCTGGCCACACGCTGAGCATTTCTGAGGTTCCTCCCTTGTGTGGAATCCTCCGCGCTAAAGGAGACGGGAGCTGACCTTGAATTTACTTCACCTGGCAGAGCCCTTCCTTCCTTCCGGGACTGGAGGTCTTCAAACATGGCTAAAGCTATTTAACTCCAGATAAGACTGGCTAAAATGCATAAAAACATGTCTAATAGTTGCTGGAAGTGTAAAAACGTGTAGGTACGTTTTACCATATGTGGTGGACAGGTGAAACTGTACGCAAGTTTTGGGTTATGGTGCAGACATTTATACGGGCAGTTTTGCAGACGTCATTACCTTTCCGACCAGAATTGTTTTTATTGAATTGTATACCAGATGAGTTTGATTAAAAAAAAAATCAAAGATATTTTATAATCCATGTGGTAAGAGCAGCTAGAATCTTACAAGCAAGTTTTTGCAAACTTCCAACAATACCCTCTGAACAAGACCTAATAATGAAGACCATGGAAAGTGCAGAAATGGACAAACTCGCTTTGATTTTAAAAGGGCAAATGGAAGAAGACTTTGTTGGACTGTGGACTCCTTTTTATGACTGGATGAGAAAGAAATATAAAGATATGATTTCTTTGATATAATACGAAGTAGCCTATATGAATTTCTAAAATTTCACGGTCTCTCTCTCAGGAGTCTGAAATGATATGTGGAGAAGAGTTATATGCAGAAGACTTGTTATTTTGTTCTTCCCTTTTCCCTCAACCCTATATAATCTAAAACCTAGTAAAAGTCCTGGTCACACGTGCCGGAATACACGGGGGGAGGAGGCATGGCAATTTGCACTGTTGCAATTTGACGTGCCCCAACGCGATCAGATGCGATGCCGTTGTTTCCATCGGCGGGTGTTTCTGGCATGCTCCAACCATCGTCGCAACCAGTTGATAGTGGGTTTTCCCGGGTACTTGTAAACTCCACTTCTTTGGCAGACTGCTACGGGTTGCTGACGGGTGCGGGACGCTGGCCAGGTGTGTCCGTTTGATCACACCAATAAAATCTGGCCAGCATTTGTGAGTATCCCATGGCAAATTCTGTGTGTGATCGGGGCCAAAGTGTATTAAAAAAACCCACCACCATGGCTAAACCTCCTTCTATAGTAAAGTAAAGGTAAAGGTTCCCTTGCTCGAAAGCCAGTCGAATCCGACTCTAGGGTTGCGGTTCTCATCTCCGTTTCAAAGCCGAAGAGCCAGCGCTGTCCGAAGACGTTTCTGTGGTCATGTGGCCGGCATGACTAAACACCAAGGCACACGGAATGCTGTTACCTTCCCACCGAAATGGTCCCTATTTATCTACTTGCAATTTCTTGCTTTCAAACTGCTAGGTTGGCAGGAGTTGGAACTAGAGAGGGGAGCTTACTCCATCATGCGGCACCCGTGTCTCGAACTGCTGGACTACTGACCTTCCACAGCCTGCAGTTCAGCGTCTTAACCACTTGAGCCACCGCAGCTCCATTCCTTCTATAGTATGAGCATTTAAAATACCTCTTCCTGGTTAGGGTAAGATTTCTGTGTAGATTAAAGCTTTTTAGAAGCGTTTATATCCTTTTGATGCTTTATGTGGCCCGTGCTTGTCTTTTACCTGTGAAATAAGAGAAGTGCTGTTTTCACAGGCTAAGCGGTTGCATGGCTTCCCCTTGAGTGGGTTCCTAGTTTCAAAAAATGCTCAACTCAACCTCTCTCCACACTCTGAACACACAAAAGGTTTCTCACCCTGTATGGGTTCTTTCCCTGTATTGGTTCTCTTTCCACACGCTGAGCATTGAGAAGGTTTCTCAGGCTGTGTGGGTTCCTTCATGCTGTTGAAGAGTGCCACTGTGAATCCCTTCCCACACTCCAAGCATTCAAAAGTTTTCTCCCATGTTTGAGTTCTCTGGTGCTGTTGAAGATCGCTACTCAACCTGAATTTCTTTCCACACTCTATTAAAAATGTTCCCCCTGTGTGGGTGCTTTAATGCTCTATGTGACGGAACAGGCCTGCTCTGACATACAGGCCCCGTCCTGCCTGCCCCCCACCCCCCGACGCACAGGCCCCATCCCACTTCCTGCCACCAGCTACTCAGTTTAGAGATCCTGAATGAGAGGAACAGGACTCTCATCCGAGGCCTGGCTTCAAGGTCTCCTGCTACCCCAGCGCCTGGTTCCCACAGGCCCCAAACGCAATTTCAGTTTTCCCCTGGAGAGTTGGCAACAGGTTCCTTGACCGCTTCCCTCCAAGTCTGGGAAACTAATAACGTATCCAAGCAATTGGAGGACTATGCGGTATGAAAACTTAGGGCCACATCCAATATAAAAAAGGATTTATTTAAAAGAAAGTAAGTTCAATCCCACTTAATCACAACAACAGATCAGCACACGGAAGAACAAAGAAAAGTTGGTTATACCATGTATCCTTCTTTCCCTGGTTCTAAAACTTACTTGAACTAGATGTTGAAAGAGAGTAAAGGTAAAGGTTCCCTTGCTCGAAAGCCAGTCGAGTCCGACTCTAGGGTTGTGGTGCTCATCTCCATTTCAAAGCCAAAGAGCCAGCGCTTTCCGTGGTCATGTGGCCGGCATGACTAAACACCAAGGCGCACGGAACGCTGTTACCTTCCCACCGAAGTGATACCTATTTATCTACTTGCAATTTCTTGCTTTCGAACTGCTAGGTTGGCAGGAGCTGGAACTAGAGATGGGAGCTCACTCCGTTATGCGGCACCCGGATCTTGAACTGCTGAACTACTGACCTTCCACAGCCTGCAGTTCAGCGTCTTAACCACTTGAGCCACCGCAGCTCCTTGATAGAGACTAGGTACGTGCAAACTTAGAAAGTTGCAAAAGGTTCTAAAGGTGTCCCCTCACCTCAGGCTCCCTGCAGCCAGCAGGCCAGGCCGCATGGCCAAGATGGCTCCTGGTCGGCAGATCAGAGCTCAGCTGTCTGTTCACTTCCAAGGACCTGCACCAACAGACCCTCCTTCATTCGAGCAGGCACTTTTATTAAACCTCTGACTCCACACATTTTGCATCACTCTCTCCACCTCTTTTGACCTGGTCTGCCCAGGTCACACGGCTAGACCCTGGGACACCCAGGTGCATCCTGGTGTGTGCGGGTGAATCCTGGGAGCCCTCCTGGAAGGCATTCTGGGAAATCTCCAAGAGTAACCTGGAGATTCGTAATACCAAATATCTCAGGAACCTGGCAAGCTGAGTCATTTGCAAAATGATGGCTGCGATCATCTGCACAATTAGACCTGACATAGGCACATACCCGGGCGGATATAAAGGGCGTGATCGTACATCTGAGAAGCGACCTGCAGCCATCAGCAACCCTTTCTGCTCCGCCACAGAAGTGGAGTTAAAAGACACTGGGGAAAATCCAGTAGGAAATGGGTTGTGATGGGCCACAGACGGACGTTCCCATCTGATCGCTCCACCCCGCTGTCATGGCGTCGGGATGGTCTGATCAGGCCATCCCGACTCCGTGCCATTATTACCCCTTTCGCAGTATGCGCATCATCGCAAACTCCATAGGGAGTCCGCAGTCCAGAGATGTGATTCATCAATCCCTCGTTTAAGCGCATGGAAAACAAAAGGCACAACCCCCCCCGAATCACCCGCAGTTGCGTCTGATCACAAACTGACGGACTGCGCCTGCAGCTTCAAAGGGAGGTGTGCTCAAGAAACTGCGGGTCAATTTCCTCCAGAGGAAAAAGCTCCCCCCCCCCATTTTATCTGGTGCATGTGACCGCACCCAATGGCTGATAATTGGCCTCACTTCCTGCCCTTCCAGAGAGAAGAGAAAAAAGGAGACATTAAAAACTCAGAGTGGGGGGGGGGTTTCCACACTTTTGAAGAAGACTACTCTGACTGAATCTCTTTACACAGTCTGAGCATTGAAAAGTTTCGCACCCTTTGTGGGTTTTTTTTATGCTTTTGAATACTGCCACTGCGACAGAATCTCTTCCTACACTTTGAGAGTTCAAAATGATTCTTCCTCATGTGGGTTGTCAGATGCTTTTGAAGATAGCTACTCAACTTAAATCTCTTTCCACACTCTGAGTGCTCAAAAAGTTCCTCCGTTTGTGGGTTCTTTTATGCTGTTGAAGAGCACCACCCTGAGTGAATCTCTTCCCACACTCTGAGCATTCAAAAGGTTTCTCCCCTGTGTGGATTCTTTTATGGTCCTGAAGATGGCTATTGCAACTGAATCTCTTTCCACACTCTGAGCATTCATAAGGTCTCTCGCCTGTATGAATTCTTAGATGATATTTAAGACTGCCACTCTGACTGAATCTCTTCCCACACTGCGAGCATTCAAAAGGTTTCTCCCCTGTGTGGATTCTTTTATGGTCTTGAAGATGGCTATTGCAACTGAATCTCTTTCCACACTCTGAACATTCAAATGGTTTCTCCCCTGTGTGGGTTCTTTGATGATCATGAAGAGTGCCACTCTGACTGAATCTCTTTCCACACTCAGAGCATTCAAATGGCTTCTCCCCTGTGTGGATTCTTCGATGATACTGAAGACTTGCATTCCTACTGAATCTCTTTCCACACTCTGAACATTCAAATGGTTTCTCCCCTGTGTGGGTTCTTTGATGATATTGAAGATTTGCATTCTGACTGAATCTCTTTCCACACTCTGAGCATTCGAACGGTTTCTCCGCTGTATGGGTTCTTTGATGATACTGAAGACTGCCATGTGAACGGTATCTCTTTCCACACTCTGAGTATTCAAAAGTTTTCTCCCTTGAGTGGATTCTTTGATGATATTGAAGATAGCGATTCGTACTGAATCTCTTTCCACACTCTGAGCACTCAAAAGGTTTCTCCCCCGTGTGGCTTCTTTTATGTTCTTGAAGATGGCTACTCTGACTGAATCTCCTTCCACACTCTGAACATTCAAAAGGTTTGTCCCCTGTGTGGGTTCTTTGATGATATTGAAGATGGCTGTGCGTGCTGAATCTCTTTCCACACTCTGAGCATTCAAATGGTTTCTCCCCTGTGTGGTTTCTTTTATGCACTTGTAGGTGGCTACGTGCACTGAATGTCTTTCCACACTCTGAGCATTCAAAAGGTTTCTCCCCTGTATGGGTTCTCAGATGCCCTAGAAGATGGGCACTCCAACTGAATCTCTTTCCACACTCTGGGCATTCAAACGGTTTCTCCCCTGTGTGGGTTCTTTTATGCTGTTGAAGACTGCCCTTCAAACTGAATTTCTTTTCACACTCTGAATATTCAACAAATCTCTCTCCTCTTTGTTTTCTTTGGTTCACAAGAAGCTGTGATCTATATTTGAAGTACTTTCCACATAGGATATATTTACTCGTCTTCATTATATTGTACTTTGGAAAACATACATTATGTTTCCTTCCATCTGTCTTCTCATCCAAACGGCTGAGTTTCTTTCTCTTAGGGCTGCCTCGATTCCAGATGCTTCCTTTCAAGTCTTCATTGTTAACTTTATCTGGCAATTGCAGCTGAAGTTCCTCGCCCTCCTCATTCCTCTGATTGTCCTCTGCTGGAATGGAGAGAGAGGAAACATTAGCATCTGGGAGGGCAAGTACGGTCCAAAGGCTGCGGTAGGAAAGGATTGACGGCCCTTTGGCCTCATCCTGCTTGGCTGACCTTAGCTAACCGCCCAACCGTTCCTCAGAATATCTGCGATTTAAGGATACCATAGCCTTTCAAGAGCCCCCGCTGAGCTCTTGCCCAGAAGGAGCTTCCAGGTCTCCAGATTCCAGGCCCCAGAACGCCCCTTCCTTGACTGCCCAGCGGGCCATTTAGAAGTGAAACAGGAAAGTCCCATGGGCATGCCATGCCCATTTCCTTGACTTAAACGTGAAGGATACCCAGCTCACTTGGTAAGGAAATCCTCTCTTGAGATCCCCTTAAAGAACTCTCCAGTCTTTCTTCAGATGCAAGGCTGTTGTCTGTCTCCACCACGGTCTCTCTTACCATTCGGGCTTCTTTCACATAGAGTGAGAGAGAGAGAGAGAGAGAGAAAGATCATTCTTATACGGGGAGGGGCCAGTATCCAAGCAAGAGTAAAAATTCTCCGGGGGGGGGGGCAGAAACATGGTCAAGATTAAAGCCAAAAATCCCAACCCGTATAAGGGGGGACAGATGATGTTCATATCACAGTCAGAGCGGATGTTTGCAATCCCATCTGGGGTGGGTTTTTTTAAAAAGCTAGCAACAGAGAAATCGCCTCTTCCAGAGTCTTTCTGAGGGCCTTTCACCCCACCTTTGCCTCAAGCCAGGACTCTTTCTCTGGCTGGGGCGATGGTCACAACCAGTGTTCCCTCTCAGCTGAGTTAGTGTGAGCTACCTCACAGTTTTTCAGCCTCCAGCTCACACATTTTTGTCTCAGCTCAGGGAGGATGACTCCAGAGCAAAGTAATTTATGCAGTAGCCAAATTGCTCACTCACAACTTTAATGCCAGTAGCTCACAAAGTAGATGGATCTGGCCCCTTCCGGAGTCTTTCTGAGGGCCTTTCACCCCACCTTTGCCTCAAGCCAGAACAATTGCTCTGGCTGGGGTGATGGCCATAACCAGTGTTCTCTCTAAGCTGAGTTAGTGTGAGCTAGCTCACAGGTTTTCAGCCTCCAGTTCACACATTATTGTCTTAGCTCAGGAAGGATGGCTCCAGAGCAAACTAATTTATGCAGTAGCCAAATTGCTCGCTCACAACTTTAATGCCAGTAGCTCAAGAAGTAGACGTATTGCTCACAGGACTCCACAGCTTAGAGGGAGCATTGGACACAACACTGGCCTCAGTAGCGGGACAGGAGGCAAAACACTCCATTGCTTTTTAATATTCTGATACATGCCACATCACGATGGCACAAATTTCCAACTTGGGCACCTAACGAAGGATCCTTACCCAGAGAGGCCACGCTCCCGTAGTTCTCCAGCATGACTTCCCAGTAGAGAGCTCTTTGGTCCGGATCCAGCAGGGACCACTCTCCCACGGTGAAATACACGGCCACCTCCTCAAAGGAAAACCGACACTGAAAGAAAAAGCAGATTCTCTTAACAGAGATCATGCCAGGTGGAAACTGTAGACTAGAAGGGCGTAGTATAGGAGGGTACAGGATGTAGAAACGGCAGGAGCAAAAGCCCCCCTGCGAAAGGAGGGGAGGACCCAGGCTGTCCCTTGCTCAAATCCCTTACCTGGACTGGAGGTGCAGCAGCCGTTTCCACCCCTCTGAAAAGATCACAACTCAACAGCATCTCTCCACTTCCTATTAGTGAGACAAAGGAGAGTGTTTTCCATTACTTTCTGTTCCACTTACTTGTTTGTTCCCTGCTTCATGTATCCCCCTTCCCAGGAGTGTGAAACCTCACCCTGTGTGAATTCAACACATTTTTTAACACTTTCTACTGAATTCTTGGAGAGGCAGAAGAGAAGCACCGGGTACCCAACGGGCCTAAGGGATGATAAGTTCTGCCAGCGTACTTCAGACTCCCGTGAGGCCTGAGTCAGGCCTGTGGGGGGGGGGGGGAGAAGGGGGCGGAAATGTCGCGCCAGATTCTGTATTTGTGAATTACCTGCTGCGGAGGATATTCCACATCATTTAATTTCCTTCCCTTTTTATACAAGAGCCGGGAAATATCTACTTGATCCTTTGCCAGATAAGGTTTCAAAGAATATTGAATTTATTTTATATGTAAAATGCAAGTTTTACTAACCTACAGAAATGGACATGAATACCAATGGTAATGTTAATGCTACTGTATCATTTCAAAGAGTGTACTGTGCACATTCTTTTATATATGGATGCTGTATAAACACAATTGCCAGCTGAACGTACGTCAATTGAATGCCTTGCTTGCATTCACACTGAGCCTCCTTGTCACAGTGCCTTGAAGTTGCTGTTTGATGCCCGAATGAAAAACCATGCCCAACAGTTTTATCACTGCACAGATGATGCCTGTCCTATAGAGTCATGGCTTGACTGTGCCTTGTTAGATACATTTCATTTACCTTGTTCCTGGGTGGGACTGCTCTATTTAAAGGCAGAGTTTCCAGTGAAAATGGGTGGCCATCGGTGGTTTTGTCCAGACTGAAGAACCTTCTAGAAACTATCTTGTGAAGCCTGAATGTCTGCATGTATGTCAACAACTCTGGATTATTAGCATCATATCCACAGATCTAAACAGGTTCTTCTTTTAAGTCCAGAGGTTTTCAAAGGTAAACTGCACTGTTGAGTTGCAACTGACTCTTGGTGACCCCCCCATCAAGCTTCACCTCATGTGGTTTTCAAGGCAAGAGATGAGGGGAGGTCGTTTGCTATTGCTGTCCTCTGCATAAGCAGCCCTTGTCCTCTTTAGTGGTCACTCATCAAGTACCAACCCTACTCAGTTTCTGAGCTCTGACAAGGTCAGGCTAGACTAGGCTTTTAGGGCTTCTACCAGAGGTTTTTACCCACTTGTAATAACGCCCTTTCTTCAATAAGTAATTAGTTCCTTGTGTTACTTGTTAGGCACTATAAGGACACTGCCATACTCATCAGTTTTAGTAGCTGTCTCAGAATCATTTAAAGTATTATTATAATATTGTAAAATCCTCCACAGGGGAGTAATGGGTGAATAATATGGGTATAGTTGGAGTGCTATCCCTTCAGGGGAATACCAATTGTCACTGATCCTTTAAGCAAAAACATGCCCTTCTGAAAAGAAGTTCTCATTACTTAAAATAAAATGGTTCCAAAAAAAGAGAAGTCCTTCTTCTGAAAAGATTTTAGATGGGGTGAAGCAGAGCTCTAAACGGGGCAAAGCACTTATGGCCCTCCCTCTCTAGTGCTGGTCATGTCCCCAAGTCTTTAACTGGTTTCTCGCATACAGCTGTACATGCCTGGGCTCTCTACATGCAGTCAGAAAGACTACAACAAACAAGGCTCCTGAACACATGTTCAGAACCAAGGAACAAACAGTGAATTGGATACAACCAGCTTTTCTACTAGTTGTTGTAGATTTTCCGGGCTATATGGCCATGGTCTTAGCATTGTAGTACCGGACTTCCGGCGGTGCGGCGCTGCGCCACAGCGTGTTTCTCGGGAGCTCCTGAGAAACACCCGATTCTTGAATGCTCTTTTGGGAGCCTCCCCCCACCCTCAGGGGGTATTCTTGACTGCTTTTTTGGGAGCCTCCCCCCCACTCCAGGGGGGTAGGTCCCGCTTGGTGCTCCTGGAGGGAGACCAAGGTATGAGGCTTGGCCGGCCCCCCGCTCCCCGGCAAGGACGGGGGTGTGACCGGCGTGCCTCACAAGCGGGAGCGTCACGAAGAACGGGAACTGGTTTCCCGCCATAGCAGCTGCCAGCCGTGTTTTTAAATGTGCACGGTGAATGGGTCTTGTCTTTTTCGTTTGGGTTTTGTGTTCGAATGAGGATTCCCCTCTGCACCACATTGAAGGACGGGTCCAACGAACAAGACCGTCTTAAAAGAAGAGCTCTTTACCCCCTCCCCCCGTTTTGGATTTCCCTCTTGACTTGAAAGGCGGCCGAGAATATTAATGGAACTGGAGACTGAACCGATCTAGTGGGGGTAAGAGACTAACTTTATTTGCAATATCACCCTTTAGGTTCTGTTATATATGTGAGTTGATATTTGCCATAACGAAGGATAAAGTTAAATGGATAACAAAATGGCGGCGGTGCAAATTTCCGAGGCCGTAAAAAATGAAATAAAAAATGAATTAAAATCGGAACGTTTCCGTATGATTTTAAGAGCTGAACTGGAAAAAACGCTGCAACAGGCATGGGACAGATTGCTAGGTGAATCTCAGTGTCTATATGTAGTAGTCGGAGATAATAAAGGACAATCCCCGGAATCGGCAGAAGAGAAACAGGAAGTGCTAGAGGATAGCCAGCACCTGACAATTGAAAAGGAAATAAAAGAAGTTGACTTTCTAAAGGATATGCCTCATAGGAGAAATAAGCGAAGAATAAAGAGAAGGAAAAAAAGGTGGGTCAAGTCCCCTTGGAAAAATAAGAGACTATCAAACAAGATTAGAACAAAGCAAGACGCAAGGAAGGCGAAAGACTTTAAGCAAGTTAAGGAGGACTTAAAAAAAATACAAAAGAGACCCTCTGGGAGCTCCCAACAAGGAGTACAAACATCTGAGACATTTACAAGAAAATGAGGAGAACGAATTCAAAAAGGAAGAGGATTGGAAACCTTTGAGCAGAAGGATCTTCTTGAAATGGCCCCCTTTTGAGAGAGATGTATGTGGGAGTAGCAAACTGTGTTTAAGTGCAGGCTGATGCAACAGGATAGGAAAGAATTGATGAAATGTAGTGGACGGTAACTTGGTAACTTGGATTTCTATGTTTTCTAAGTTTTTGAAATGTGGAAATATATATGGATAAACAATTGTAGAATGATGTAATAGGATGTAATAGAATGAAAATAATTGATGAAATGCAGTTGAGGGTAATAGGTATCTAAAATCAATTAAATATATAGGCGGAGAGATGATTATGAATGAAATTTGTAGGTGTGGAATTTTCCCTCTTACGTTCTTTTTTGAGATATTTAGCCAAGTGGAAACAAGGTTAATGATGAATTTTGGTTTGATGAAGAGGTGAACATTTTAGAGAACCAGTACTATAAACTTGAAATCCTTGAAGTGGGGAAACATGTATGGATAAATAATTGTAGGTTGACTTAACAGGATATAACAGAATGAAAATAATTATGGAAATGTGGCTGAGGGCAACAGAGATTTTTGTGTTCTGCAGGAAAAGTGGTGGCTACTTATTTAAAATGTCTACAATATATAGGCTGAGAGTTCATTATGAATCTAATTTTTACTTTCTATTTTGAGATACCTAGCTAAGGGGAAGAATAAGGTTAAAGATGAATTTTGGTTTGATGAGGAGGTGAATATTTTGCTGGACTAGTATTATAATTTGGTTGGTGAGTGGGCATAAATAGTCGGGAGGATTAACCAGCTGATGAGAAATTTAGATTAATGAGATAATTAATCATAATGTAAGCAGGTTGAGAATATGTACACTTTAGGTTGTAGAAACAATGTGGTTTAGAGGAATATTAGTGGTGATTATTGGTAGAAGGGCAGGTGGGTGGTGGTGGTATTTTTATATGTCTATCTAGTTGTTGTTCTTTGTCTACACAGATGTTTGTTGTTGTTTGTTGTGGAAAACCAATAAAAATATAATAATAAAAAAAATTAAATTATAAAAAAAATGAATGGATTCAATCAGATATTTTATTGATAACAAAACAGGAAAAGACATGGGAAGATAAGGCATTGGAAATAAGGAAGAAATGGTTTGGGTATATAAGATGGGTAAGAGAAGATTAGAGAGAGGGTGTTTTGTACTGTGGCATCTGAAGTGACTGATTATAAAAGAACTGACCCAAAGTTGAACTATACCATTTGAAACTACATATCTACAAGCATCAGCTTTTCCCTTGTACATATATTCCCTGCCTGCCTATCCTTGTAAATAAACTCTTCAGTTGGTTTTATTGTTCAATGTTGTGTGTGCATCAGTGTCTGACAGAGCTCAGTATCTGACAAAGTTAAACAGTAAGCTTCATCCCGGGAAAAGGGCAGTGTTCATGAAAAGCCACAGAGACAATAAGGGGCTTGATTTGTGACAAAAGGACGAACTGTGTGAGTTCCCGGTTAAAAGAGGCTGGCAGACAGTGTCAGTGGAAAATAAGACTGCTCCAACCTGTGAAAGGTTAAAGGAACAAAACCCCACATACTCAGAAATAAGGGAGTTCGTCATAACCCCAATGTAGCTACGGGCCCGTCATATGAATGTGTATTCAGAGTGTCTCCTTGCATGCTAACTTCACAGCCAGGTTTTCAGCCGGAAGCAACGTCAACATGACACCACATCGGTTCCAAGCCCCTCCCTGAAACCCCTGGGGGGTGCCATGCCACAGCTCGCCATCCCTGTGCCAGCATCCTCTTTCCCACAGTGACTGCCATATGCCGCTATACGCACGGGCACAGAAGCTAAATTTCCCCGTAATTATTGGCCCCCAGGAAGTGTTTTTCAGAGCTCTGCTGCCCCAGAAGGTGGAAGCTCCACTTATTCACCGGGCTGAAGAGCTCTGCCGAGATTTGTCTACTGTATAGAGGGAGGGTGAGCTATGAGGAGGAATCGCCTTCCATGAATTTGTTTAATTACTGGACACTGCGTTCCGCAAATTAACTTTGTGTTGTGTGAAGAAGTGTTCAATTCTGTCCCACC